TTGATGTGCCTATTCATATGTTTTCACGAGTGACTGGGCATGGATGGTTGGCACACTTTATGACTTTTCCCCCTGACGACGGATGACCCCCGTCCAGCCTGGAGTAGCAGTCGGCGCCGAAGAGGGCGCTGTTTGTGTCGAAGCAGACACAGAATGTGCACGACCAGAAGGTCTGTCGTGGCAGTGGCCAGGTTGGCCCCCTTGTCCGACCGGCCAGTTCCTCTCTCGAGAGTATCCGCGAAACTCCCCTTAAGATCCGTGCCCGCTTTGAGCTTCAAAGCGTGTACTTGGCTCCTCAGGTCAAGTCGGCATCATCGTGATCTCATGCGCTACAGCCGCCATTGACGACGCCCTTCAGCCATTCAGGGCCAAGTCTCGAATGTCCACGAATTTGGGGCAGCATTTCGCCCACGTTGGGTTGACGATAGGCGTGGGACTCGAACCACGGCAACTGTTCTGCCTTTGCCACACGAATGGCGTCGCCCCGGCGCCGTCTCGTCGATCCGCTCTCCCCCTCCTTCCGGGTATAGTGCACAAAACGGCATTCGCATGCCTTCGCGACACCATAGCGACCAACAGACGACTTTGAGACCAAGTTTAGCCTATGCGCACCGCGGCACTGGGCCGTGCAACTCGTCAGTGGAACCCAGTAGAATTTGTCGCTTTGCCACCATTCCACTTCTCACGGTTGGGATCATTGCTTGTCTCCAGAATGCGAGATAAACCATAAACGGGCAGAAGACACCGAGTGAGGAGCCGGGACGCCCAGGTCGCCGTGTTGGCCTCACGATGCTACCATCGTGTTTGACTGCTTGTGTTGGCCAGTGTCTGTGTCTGTGGGCTTGTGTGCAGATGTGCACATGTGTTGTCTTTTAGTCAGTCAGGCGCCAGTTAACTGGACCCATCCACAGGGACATTCGCAGGTACCGTCACTTCTTTATATCCTTCAGAGGTTCATTCCAAGTACCCGATCGGCATCTACCATTCACAGGATCAATAAATGAATGATCCAATTGTGCTCACGATGAGTTGATGGTGATGGTGATGAGGACGATGCTGATGATAATAATAATGCTGATAAGGGTGACGACGCTTGTGATGATCAGGATGATTGATAATACTAACACTAATGATGATTAGTCTGGTGATGATGATGATGATCTAGTCTCCTTCAAGGCATTCCTGCCGTGGCATTTGTCTCCTTCAGCTGAGCAAATCACCAAAATGACCCTCCAGAGCCCTGGCGACAATCGACACGAGATGACCTCTCCCATTGGCACATGGGTATGTGTACATAAATGCATAACAGCATAAGGGATATGGAATTGGGCCAAAATGTCTCTTCGTGGAGGAAACGCCGTGAGGCATCGGGCTAGTTTCACACTTTTCGGAAATAGGCTGAATGTGTATGTAGGACGTGTGGACATCGTCATTTTCTGGGATAGCTTTTGGTTGCCAGCTCTCTGTTGCCAGACTCTGACGTAGCCCAGCTTACAGGCGTGGCTCTGCTGCAACATGTTGAGAGGACTCAAAGGTCTAGTCGTCTC